GTAGTGCTGATTTGCCAACAACAACTGTTACCAGTACTACCGACGAACCAACAACAACAGAAACCAGCACTACAGACCAAACAACACCAACAGTAACCAGCACTACTGACGAACCAACAACAACAGAAATCAGCAGTACTGATTTGCCAACGACGACTGTAACCAGTACTACCGACGAACCAACAACAACAGAAACCAGCACTACTGACGACCCAACAACAACAGATATCAACAGTACTGATTTGCCAACGACAACTGTAACCAGTACTAGCGACGAACCAACAACAATGGAAATCACAACAACTGACGAACCAACAACAACAGAAATCAGCAGTACTGATTTGCCAACAACAACTGTTACCAGTACTACCGACGAACTATCGACAACTGACACCAGCACTACTGAAGCGACAACTGAAAATCCAATTATTAAAGACGGATTTTGGAATCCTTTAACTACTACTTTAACGGTATCATTTAGTGTCTTAGCTATTATCGGTATATCAGTATTTTTCTACTTATTTGGTAAACGACGCGCTGTAAATCAATTGTTGACTGAAGATATTGATGATGAGAGTGTACCAACTCCAGTTATTATACCGAGAGCTAGAGCATTCCCTGCAGATAGTAGTGTCGTCAATATTTATGATCGTTTTTAATAACATCCAACTGATACTGCATGGAAAATTTAAGCGTACTTAATTTATTTCTGTCCGTACAGTTACATGTCGTAGTAGTGTTAGTAGGTACAACAGAATGCAAAGTATTTATTTTCGGAAATAACTTGATTGGTCTGTCCATGATGCGATGATGCTGGTGATGATTCTTAAGAAGACTGCTGGTGCTGGGCCTCACTCTGGTCAACAGGAATGCCACTCTTCTTCGAACGACTTGGCTGAAAACCAGCACCCTGCGCTACCTTTTCAGCTCACGTAGTCCGTTAAATTTCCGCGATCCAGTGACTCAAATACTTAGTCACTTTTTCGAGCTCACAACCGTTTATATTGGTTGGTAGCACTGAACAAGTGGTACCCGATTTTAACACCAAGAGTTCACTCTTTTTGACTTGCACTACTGCCCAAATTACATGTTATTCAGTTACTGATTGCAATTGCATGACGGCAACATAGTGAGGAAAATTTTATTTTATTTTCTTTATTTTATTTATTTATTTACATCAGGTAACTGTGAGCGTTTTGAGTATACAAAACAAACATTATGTCTTTCACAAGCACGTTAATCGTGGCAAGCAAAACATCCAAGACGATTAGTTTTATCATTCGGACTCTGCAAAGCATAATGATATCAAATAGTCAGTTTTTTAATAAGAATTGCCAAAGATAGCATTAACTGTCCAGAATTGCTGTCACTTATACATCTACGTACTAACCTATTGCAATGTTTTTTTGCCGTAATGAATTTGATTTGGTCCGTCCAGATATAAGACAGTAAGGCGGAAAAACTATTTCTTTAATATTTTTTTTCCTTTTTGTTATTTTTCTTTTTAGTTTTCGTCTCTCCTTGCCTTTGGTAAGCACTTGATGTTCTATGAAATAACGTTAATTGCATTTGAATACTCATGATTACATAGTTAAAACTATGTATTTATACGATAAATTGCCGTATTTCTCAATGTAATTACAACGATACCTATTAATAAATTGATTTTGATTGCCGCACGTGTTCTTATACGCTTTTGTTTACGCGCCTTCAAATCTGACGCTTATGGAAGCGTTGCTGGCTACTGCACCACTAATTACAATATTCAAAAGAGCAGTTGTAGAGCTATTGTCGTGACACGGGCGCGCCATTTTTGCAGTCACAATAATTGCGCCGCAGTCGCGCATTACAGCATTTCTACAAGCGTCTAATTGAATTAAACTCTTTAATTGCGCACACATCGATTATCCTAACGTGATTAGGGGTTGGCTGGAGATGCGAAGATGGAGTCTTCATCGTCCATCCACGCAATATTTTTTCGAGGCGTCGAGATGATAGATAGTTGTAATACCTATTAAATTGTTTCAGCGCGTGTATCTCAGTTTTGTAATGACACATTGACATGTTCTTTTTGTCATTTTTGTACTTAAGATTGCAATTAAAAATAAGTGTACATAAGTGATTTTATATGAATTATATCGATTGCTTCACATAGGAAATGAAATATTTTTTTCGGATCTAAATTGCGCACATTAGTTTTTTCAAAGAAACCGTTTCCGGCATTTTACAACTTTTATGATATTATATGAGAACATTATGGTACCTGCAAAGAGCCCGAAAAAATTAATTCATTTCTAATTGTATGGATATTTAATATGAATTCGAATTTTGCTTATCATAAACAAGAAGAAAAGTAGAAAAATGACTTCTAAGCTTGAAAATACGATATTATACATTTTGCATGTTAAAATCAATACCGTCAATAAACAAAAATTGCATATTTTTTTAAATTTACTTTCAGAAAATTTTAAAACCATTCAGCACTTCATCAATTGCCGTTTTACAATTATCTCAGTTAAGTAGTCTTAATTTCAAATGTGGTTGTGAAATCATTTCTACGCTATTAAATTCTTAGCTGGTTAAGTAACATAACAATTTAAAACGATGTTCGTTCGGTAAACTCCTTCACGGGAAGCTTTCGGTTTGCTCCTTCTAAATGTACTTAGGAACAAACCATCAAACTTTCTCAGTCATTACACACTTTTAAAAGAAAAGTGTAAACAATGCCTGTTTAACATCCATAAATGGCAGCGCAAATCGAAGGAAGCGGAGAGAGCATCGAAGAGGATATTTTAGTAACAGTAAGAAAGAATTCGACCAGAGAAATACTGCCACCTTACTATTTCTGCCGTCAAGCAGTAACGTGAGCATTACTGCGTTCAGGTTTTAAAGGGTAAGAGCGCTAGTGAAATTGAACATGGGACTTGTCAACTTATGTCTCACGGTGGCGGGTTCAGTGGTAGTGCCTCTCAGAATTTTGGTGTTATAAAAATGAAAAAAAAAAATTAAAAAATCTTTTACTCGTCAGAACACACTGATAACGAACATCCCTTAGGAAACCGCAAGGGTCCGCTCCCACTCGTTTGCCACTACCTCGTGTCGATTGCATACACTGTAATGCATGCCGTCGTGGTGGAATTATAATTATATGGGCTTTTTGCCCATCGGCGTAAGGTACTCCAAAAAGACCAATTGTTATCCAGGGTGCGTCAAATACACAGGAAAAGAATGACACGCTATGCGGGGAGGCTCATCTCGTGCACCACATTTCGACGCAAAACCGGTGGATTCTCTCGCTGTGATATACTCGTTCGTTCTCTTCAATACCGCATAGCAAAATACGCTGCGGTTCTCTGAGGTCAGTCTCAAAGATTTGTTAAATGAATATCTCCTGCCTTGCCGTCCATCGAATTGCGCTCGCTCTTATCATACTAAATTGTATTTTAAGTATTTACGTTAATTGTTTTTATTACTTCATTTTAATTTGTCACCGTTGTAGATTTATTTTAGAAGACGAAACCTGTACTTGTTTTCTTTTGTTTGCAATGTAACGTGTTAGTTATGAAATCTTGTAATTGCACAGTGAACATAGAACACAGTGAACAATTAATGTATTTTATTGACATAAAAACGAACCGACCTCAAAAATCTGTGGAATTATGTCAATTCGTCAAGTTTTATTGAAATCGGTTAACGGAAAGTGGGTGAAATCTAATAAATCTGATTCATCCCCTAATTTGAGGCCATGAGAACCATAGTGGCCTAATTCAATGGACAAGCCATAGTGGCCTATCTTACTTAGGCCAGTATGGCACCTCAAATTTAGATCACAGACCAAAAACCATAACAATGATTATGCTGCCATCTAGTGAAAATTCGTTGTATCACTTTTAGGCCTTTCTGGTTCTATCAAAATGATCAATTTGAACTGGAAAAAATCATAAACTCAATATTGTAAAAAAATGAGTTAGGCCACTATGGTTTTTTTTTTAATACATGACAGGCAAATGACTCCACTCCACCTGATGTTAAGTGGAAAGTGGTATCCAAACGCGAAGGAACCTAGTGCAGCGATGAAACCCTCACTGCACTAGCCACCTCCACCCTGCCTGCCTACAATATGCCTCTTCACGCCTCGTTTGAAGGACCCCATATCATAAGAGGGAGGGAAGACATGTGCCGGAAGGGAGTTCCATTTGTCAACCGTGCGGCAGAGAAAGGAGCCACCAAACCTTTTAGTACGCGATGGAATGCGGCAGGTAGTGAAACGGTGACTACGAAGGCCAGCACGCGTGCTTCTAAGCAGGAACGGGGAAGGGGGGATGAGGTTGAACAGCTCTTCAGAGCACTCACCATGGTACATGCGGTAAAAGGCGCTAAGCGATGCAACATCTCTACGCAGTTGCAGAGGTTCAAGGCGTGATGAGACCTCTTCGTCGCCTATAATTCGAGTAGCACGACGCTGTAATTTATCCAAGGCATCGAGTAGGTACTTGGCGGAGCCGTCCCACAAGTGCGAACAATACTCAACGCAAGACCGGACCTGTGTTTTGTACAGCAGGCATAACTGGTCCGGCGTGAAAAAACGTCGCACCTTGTTCAGGACTCCGAGTTTCCGTGAGGCTGTTTTGATCACAGATTCGATGTAGCTCCTTGGATTCAAATCACAGCAGATTTCCATACCGAGCAAGGTAAAACTGCTCTGAGGTGAGAGTGCTGTGCTCATCAGAGAAGGCATGGGAAGGAAGGTTCTCATGGCCTCATTTGTCACCCTAAGAGGTGGAATATTTTCATTAAATTTTTATGGGATCACTATTGGGGGGTACCCCCACAATTTAAATAATCTCGAAATCGATTCACAAATGTTGGAGTAATAACTTAACATGCACTTAAAAAAATACATTCGAATTGGGAACCTCCTCCTTTTTTTGAAGTCGGTTAAAAAGCAGCGTGTATTGCATTGATACCATCCAGTTCATTAGCAATAGATCCTGCTTTATTATAAACTTTTTGTGATGTGCTTACCTAGCTTATGAATAAATGTTTTTATTATTATATTGGATGACTATAGATTCAGATTTGAAAAACATGAATATGAAAAAAATATATTTGTATAAAAATTTTGAATATTGAAAAGCGGAAGGCGGTATTTCCTCGCCATGGCATAATCGGCCGGGGTCAGGGATTTAAGTTCAACTACCGTCTACCGTCAAATGTCGCGTGTTATTTCGTGCAGTACCACTTTCTGCATTTGTGTTGTTTCTTCCGACCTGTTTGCGCACAAAACAATTAGAATTGCAATTGTAATTACTACTGAAATTACACTCTTTTGCAACAAAAACGGGCACCTATGAATCTTTCAAATACTTTAAGTGTTATTTATTCTTAGGAAATTATATATTAATGTAGCAAAATGAAATAAAATTTATTTATTATGATTAAAAAACTTTTCGTATCTAAATTAGCCTTTATTTATTTGTTTTTTCCTTGCTTTTGTACTTATTCTTTCTAAATAAGCAATTGATTCATGCGTTATTTTGTGGAAGTGCAAGTATAATGTAAGTATAATGAAAATAGTAAAATATATTTATCCCTCCACATAATATTAATAATGCAACACAAGCGCAACTACAGTCACAAACATCCCCACCCACAGCTCGCGATCCTGTCGCAAACAGGCGCATTTGCGCTAGATCTGCGCGCACCCTAACCCCCCGTTCACACGTCATTGTACTGCACGTTTTTTTGTTGTATAAATCTCACCGAATAAACAGTGGCGCATACATTAGATACGGAACCGTTCAGACGGTGTTTGTCCTGCAAAAAAACGCACACAGCCCTATACGTTTATCGAATACGCAACGGACTGGTCAAGGAAATCGAATAAACTTTAACGTATTCGGTGTGCAGTGGCGCATAGTGTTAATGCATCTCTTTCACACGGCGCAAAGTCATGCATTTTTTATCGAATATTTACCGAACAAGCGGTCTTGTATTGAAGCATATTTTGGAAGGCATAATTTTATTAATACAAAAGACCGGCGAATCTTCTGTGGACAACGATTTATTGATATCTTCAGAAGAACAAAGGCCCGTTTTTTTTTCATCATATCTCAGATTTTCGTGCAATTTTTCAAATTATTTGATTTTTAGTTCAAAACTTAATCACGCCCAAAACATATTTTAATTACCGGGACGTTTCGGACGTCCATGGTCTCCAAGGGACTGAAGAGGCGGGTGTCAGCATCTTCTAGCCGTGCGAGTTTTTTAACTACTCGCACTTGATCTTCATTACAAATCCACTTGGAATTTTGTTCCCTCGGGCGTGCCACAAGGGTCTCTGTTGGGCCCATTATTGTTCATCATATGTATTAATGATATCCAACTTTGTTTTCACAACTCTGAAGTATTACTTTATGCTGATGATATGAAAATCCTCAAAAAAGTTGTGTCAATTCAAGACGTTCAGGCTCTGCAGAATGATCTTGATCAGTTCGTAGCTTATTGTCGAATTCACAAACTAGACTTAAATGTTACTAAGTATTTCGTAATATCTTACTCACGTAAAAAAACCATTATCGGTGAAGGTTATAATCTTCTAGGGAGTTGTATGAATAGAGTGGACAGTGTCAGGGATCTAGGCGTGTATTTTGATTCCCACCTGCTCTTCAATAAACATATTGAGAGTATAGTTACTAAAGCATATAGAGCCATGGGGTTCTTGATGCGGACGTGGAATGATTTTACCGACATAAAGCCTATTAAAATATTGTACCGTTCTCTTGTACGCAGTGTTCTCGAATATGCTTCTCAGATGTGGAACCCTAGATACGAAGTTTACAAATCGCATATTGAAGCCATGCAAAAAAAGGATTTAAGGTATTTAGATTATAAGGCAAAACAGCGAACGGCAGGCTATGTGGAGCGTTGTAAGCGTTATCATTTTGTACATCTCGATTATAGGCGAAAAGTTAATGACATTTGCTTCCTGTATAACATAATAAACAGTAAAATTGACTCGTCCGAACTACTGTCTCAATTATCCTTAAGAACTAACCAGCTGAGTCTCAGGCGTCGACCGGTGTTTTTATCAGAGCAATTAAGGAGTACTAACAATCGTCTATTATATACGAGTAGATCTGTTCAGTACTGGTGTAGGCTTCATTCGACGAACGTTTACTAAGCAAAACTTTACGTAATTATCTATCTCTCATTATTTTGTTTCCTGTCTTTAAGATGTGCGTGTTGTTGTTTGGGCTATAATATAGGGTTTAACATTTTTCCTTTTTTTTTCTTTTCCTTTTTTTCCCTGCATTGGCAATTGTACCTTTTCCTCAATGTGTAAAATAATATTATTTTGTTTACATTCAATAATAATGTTTTAGTTTCTGCAGACTAAAAACTTAATAACTTATTTTTTGTGCCACTTGTGAAGATTTGTAATTAGCGTTTTCACCTGTTACTCAAAATTTAGTTATAAAAATTCGCTATAAATATTTCTAAAAATAAAAAATTCCATAAATAAATAAATTGTTCATTTGTGCACTAGGGTTCTCACTAGACCGACACACACTCGCGACATCCGGCGACTTGTCGGGCGATACTTAATGTCGAATACATTTGCTGATAACTGGATCCCATGACGATGAAAGCTTAAAACCGTCGTCTCGGTTGAAAGTACGGTGTTTTTTAATTTCAATAGCTTCTCGTACGATTCTACTATAGTGAGGACGTTCTGTAGAAAGAATCTTGGGATTATGAAGCTCAATCCAGTGGTTTGGTCCTGATTCCAGCAAATGCCCGGCTATTGCTTAACAGCCGCGATGTGTTCTTTAACTCT